CATGAGCTCAGACATGAAGATGCAGCATGAGGACTGATGCTTAGGTATAAGTCTATAGTTCCTTAATACATTTTATTTTAATAAACTATTGGGACTGGAATGTACTGTAAAATTTCTATTCATTGCATACAGTGGATACTGTAGTATATTTTACTGTAACTGTTTAGATTACAGCGAGTAGACTTCCCAGCTGCCAGGACTTTGCCACAATTTATCCATAAAATAAATTACAGTAGCTGTTCATGTACTTTGTTAGGTACAGCCGTGCAACAGCTGATTACCACAAATGTCTAATCAGCCAATCAAATGAGAGCAACTCAATGTTTTTAGGCATCCAGACATGGGTCATATGATGTGCGGAAATTCAAAGTGAGCATCATCGTGAAAATGAAAGGTGATTTAAGTGACTTTGAAGGTATAGAGGCTGTTGGTTCTAGACTAGTTGGATCGAATATTTCAGAAACTGCTGATCTTCTGAGATTTCGCCCCATAACCATCTCTAATGTTTACAGAGAACAGCCTGAAAATAAGATAATATCTAGTGAGCAGCACTTCTTTGGCTGAAGATGCCTTGTTGATGCCAGTCAACAGAGGAGAATGGCCAGACTGCTTCGGCCTGAGGAAGGAAGGCAACTGTAACTCAAATAAACAACTCTCAACACATTGGGCTACAGCACATGACCATAGTGAGTACCACTACCATCAGCTAAGAATAGGAAACTTAGCAGCAATTTCCAATGAATCACCAACATTTTGATGGCAAAAGATTGGAAAAGACATCCTGGTCTGATGAGTCGTGATTTCTGTTGCAATATTTCAGTGGTAGAGCCAAAATTTTGTGTAAACAACATTGCCTTGTTTGAATGCTTCATCCTGGTGGTGGCAGTGTAATGGCATGGGGAAATCTGGGCACACCTTTGGTCTCTTAGTAACAACTGAGTGTTGTTTAAATGCCACAATGTACCCGAGTATTGTAGCTGACCATATCCATGCCTTTAGGACCACAGGGAATCCATCGTGTGATGGCTGCTTCCAGCAGGATAACACACCATGTCACAAAGCTCAAATGATCTCAAACTGGTTTATTAAACATGACGATGAGTTCACTATACTCAAATGGCCTCCACAGTCAGATCTGGGATTTGGGAAGTGGTGGATCAGGGTATCCTAATTATGGCTGTGCAGCTGACAAATATGCAATCACGTCAATATGGATCAAAGTCCACCACCTTTTTGAATCGATGCCATTAAGAATTCTGCCAATTCTGAAAGCAAAAGTTGTAACCAAAACAGTGTAGATATACAAGTCTACTAACTGTGGGAGAGATAATACTGACTTTTAAAGAACATATGCATTTATAACTAGGTGGTCTCGTGTTTGTAAATGTCTAATCTGAATATCTTGTTCATGTGTGATATAAAGTAGCATTGTGTCATGTCATTACTTTGGACCCACTTATGCTACATTATTCAGAACAGCCCACCCTGTCCTGAAAATGAAAACCTGCTAACATGCCCAGCTGAAACGTGGGTTGATGTAAAAATGAAAAGAACCCACGAAGCTACTTCAGGTTCAAAAGGTTAAGGATTTATAAAACCCAATTATTCAAAAGTGGTTTTAAAAAAAGTGCCAAGTCCTAATTTGTATTCACAACAAGCTCCTCTAATCACTGCGTTCATTAATATTCCACTGCAGCTGTCTTGTATAACATCTCCTTTACCTAAAGCTCCTGGTTGGTTTTTGGGTACCTGCAGTGGCCAAAAGGAGGGATTCCCTTTTGGGTAGCTGACGTTTGTTTTTCACGCATGGAGGGTAACAAGAACAGTTATATAACTTCAGGATGGTTCAGGTTAGATGATTCTGACTGCAGTCTCCCTATACTTCATTTGCAGTGGGATAGAGAGGAGGCGTGGGGAATTGGGAAACAGAGGAGGGAAGATGTAGGATGAAATGGGGAAAAAAAGGAAAAGGGAAGGAAGAGGAGGGGAAAAGATAGGGGGCGGTGAAGGGGATAGGGAGAATAAAAGTGGAGAATGAGAGAAAGTTGGAGAATAAGAAGAAGAAAAGTATAAAGGAGACAACGTAAAGGGAGAGAAGGGAAAACTTGAGGACAGGAAAGGGCAAAGAAAAAACAGGAAGGAATGCAGAAGGAGGATGAAATGCAAGTATTTACACAGTGTGGAAATATGATGAAGAAATGGAAAAGTAAACAGAAAAAGTAAAAGAGTGAGTGATTTCAAAGAAGACCAGCAAACTCACCACTTAGAAAACTGAACCATATCCTCCGAGTACTGACCGACACGGGGTTTGCGTTTCAAGTTAGTGGTGATTCCGATTACAAGCAACAGTCAAAACAGGATGTCTGCCATCACCTGTTGGTTCAACATCACCAGCATGTGACCGGAATGTTTTCACCTGCAGTCAGCAATCCCTGTGAGACATGATCCGGTGTGTCACAGGAGCAGAGCTATGTTTAGGATTTTGGCCCCATGTCCTCTAAAGCAGCAATCACTGTAGATGTAACTCAGTATTGTCACGTGCTTATATCTGTACACTGTACTTAGTGCCAGAATAATGGCCTTTTGTAGTATAGTTGTACAAACAATTGTAGCTCCAAAGTGCAAAACAACAAAACCAAAAACCAAACAAAAAACAGAAAACATGACATTTTGCACAACACAATATTAAAATACCCAACAAACATGTTTGCTGGGCTAATTTTCCCTCCCATAACAACAATTATTTGCGGCTTGGTTGGTCTTGGACTAAAAATGAACACCATTATCTGAAGCCAAGAGCCCGCTGAAGTTTATGCTGCACTGATGTTTCAAATATTTTATCCATACATTATACTCACTACTAATTATGAGGTATCTGTGTGATGCACCTCCAGAATTTACAGATGCATCTTGCTAAGCAGACATGCTAGCATTGGCAGCTAACATAGCTTTACATTGACATCCCCAAAATGGCTATGTTCGTCTTTAATAAACTCACCAGCCACTTCATTAGGTACACACATTTACCTGTTCATTAACTCAAATATTTAATGAGCCAGTCACATGGTAGAAACTCCATGGCATGTAGAAATGGTCAAGACAGCCTGGTGAAGATCAAACTGAGGACTAGAATGTGGAAAAAGTGACTTTGAATGCAGTAAGGCTGTCGCTGCCAGACTGGCTTGAATGAATTTCATATTTTACTGCAAATCTTCCTGGGTTTTATCCACAAGATCATCTCTCTGGTTTACAGAAAATGATTTAAAAATAGAAAGGATCCATGAGTCAAATAATCACTACAAATCACACCAATATATTTAAAAATCTCATAATTAGTAAAGTCTTTCAATATGCCCTATAAAGCTAGCTACAACAAACCATAAAATCTGGTTCAAGTAATACAAGGTCATATGTGAGGTGATGATTAACCATGTCTCAGAGTAGTAAACCGGAGAAGGACCCAGATTCTTAAAATCATAATCAACCAAAATTATATATATATTTATAAGAACATGTAATGCTTTTGATGCCGGCATGTTTGAACTCATATGTAAACGTGAGGAATGTGACAAGTTATAATGATTAAGACTTTGAAATCTGACTCCGAGCAGAGATTTTCTGAGGATGACCGCTGCAACAACAAACCCTTCCCTTTCCAGAGACAAATGCCTCTGTAACTGGTTAATGTTTTGCAGAAGCTACAGATAGCAAGAGGGGATTGTTTACTGCACATTCATTCAGAGAATGGCTACATACCCGCCTGAATGACTCACAGTTGTCATATAAACTAAGCCATGGAGTCATAAAACATTGTGAAACATTTTTCCCAGGTGATGAAAAATGAGGCCTTCAAGACAGGTGACTCCTGCAGATAGTTAAGAGAAAATACTGAATGCATTCCATCAGGTATTCAGATGTTTAAAATACCTGTTAAGATGTGACCAAACTGAAAAGAACACAAATCTTGAGGAAGAAGTCTCAGGCTCCAGGTACCTTTGCTTGTAGCGCCATCTGGTGACAATGGTGATAATATATGGCTGGCTAATACACTCACAATAAATGATAATAATAAATTTAAAAGATTTTCTAGGCTTTATAAGATGCAATAACCTTTGGATTATGTATACAAACTCTATGCCCACCTATTTATCACAAATCAACCAATCACATGGCAGTAATTCAGTTAATTTGGACATGACATAACTGCTAAAAATGCACATCAGAATGAGGAAGAAAGGTCATGTGTCCTGGTGTGAGAATTTCAGAAACCAGTTGTCTTAAACTTGGACGTTGCTCACAGGGTTTCTGACTCAGTATTTTTGGGTGTGCCCACAGCAAAAAGGTTTTGTGGATGTGCATACTTCTCCGCCCCGAGTTATGAGTAAAGAGTTCACTTTGTGTGACTCAGCATGGTTAAATCTGTGGTTGTCTCCCTCCGCTGGACATGAATGGTCCTACTGCTTGCAAAAAATACGAAATGTCTTAAGGATGGAGTATTTAATACGCTGTTCAAAAATTAGCACTCTGTCATCAGAGTATACCTCAAACTTAAAGGGCGTCCAGTTATGAAGCAAAAACCAGTGTGAATCAGTTTCACCTACTGTGGTCCAAAGGAAAGTGACAACATGTGCAGTGGAGAGGCAAGAAAAGCCAGCTAAGGGAAAGGAGATTGTTTTATAGGTGTTGGCCACAGATCATTGCTTTCCCTTTATTCTAATGAATTTTTCTCTAGTTTTGTTTTTTCTCAGTGTGCTTGTCAGATGCCATCCGTGTGTGTTGTCACAAGGTTTGCTGTGTCTCCCGGCAGCAGACACCAGCAGCAGGGCTGGTAACAAAGTTCCCACACGTGGGACTAATAAAGGTTATCTTATCTTAACATGAAAGAAACTCATAAGCCTTGAGCTCGTTTTGTGTTTTTTTTAGGGTGTAGAATAAATCTTAGCTGTAAGCTTTCAGCTCTGGAAACATCCATCCATCCACACATTAAACAAAGACTCCTCTTACTTACTCAACTCAGTTTATTACCAGAGTGTTTGAAGAGCCATGTATGCAAATGCACTGAAATTACTGACAGAACTTTTTTTTTTAATTCATCACATGGGGAGTTGATTATTCACTTTGAGCTCAGTATATTGATCAATATATTTCAAAAATCCAGTGACTGTTTTTTTTCCTTTAGATTACCATCAAGTCCCTCAGGGAAACAATAAATTAACCAGGTTTTAAGCCGTGCTCCGTCTTCCAGGCTTCCGCAAATATAGCAGTTAGAGTTAATATTTCTGGACACCATCAAATCTAAGCAAAGCCTGTGATAATCCAAGAAAAAAAAAATGAAAAGCTACAAACAGGTTTCGGTCAGTCCTCTCTCAGATGAGCCACAATGAAGCAACATGAAGGGTACAGGCAATGTAGCAGTGAGCCTTTAACGTTATTTGATCTCTTTTAAAAGGAAAGTTTCTATATTTTCTGAAGTGTTCATCAAATTGAATCACACCCTGTGGGATTATCGTACAGTGTGCGTGACATCCATTCTCTTTAGCCAATCAAAAATCCTTTTGAAGTTGAACACGTTTTATTTGTAACACCGCTCTTCCTGCTTCCACAGTGACCAAATTTACCCACGGGAACTGATTAAATGTAAAAGCAGAAAACTCTGAAAACAACCTTGTAATCAATGGCAAGAACTGCAACTTCCCCCTTAAAGAAAACACCCCCTTCACCTCTGGCGTCTAGTTTGAACCGTCCTGTTATCAGCTTGGTTATGATACATGAAGTGACACTGAAAATAAAATCGAAAACAGGCAACAGATACAGCATGGACAGATAGTTAAAAATGAACATAAAACCAACAAGTTAACTTCCTACACTTAAAAAGCTGACGTCATTTTCAACACACGCTACTCTGCTATGATATTTACAGTTTCTTTCAACACTGACCATCATCTGCCTCCCTTAATGTGTTGGGAATGACTTTTTAAGGCTGTGGAAGTACTCCGCCCACCCTCCCCAAACTAAACAGGGTCTGAAAACTGAGAAGGAAAAAATGAATAAAAGAAAGATTGAATCAAGTTTCTGAGACTTGCTGAAGCTTTCGGACAACAGGCTTACAACCAACCAGCAGCACTTGTATTACTGCAGGAATCCCCATTCAATGGATTCTAATCAGAACATTTGTATCATCTTTTCTACACACCTGACTCCAATGGTAAGGTGTGAATGAATACACAAAACCTGCAGGATACTAGGCACTGACTAAATTCTTTAAAACATGAGCTGTGGCTGTGAAGGAATATGTATTCCCCATTAGCAAACCTGGCACTTACATTAGGGGCAGCTTGTATAAAAGTTTGAGGAAGCATTTCCTGTGTGAAATCCTTCCGATTCACCCCTGCTGTGCATTTAAACTGCTGTTTTTGCTTTCCCCCCCTTCCAATTGTTTTGGGTCCCCCCCTCTAAATTAGTTTTGGGAACCTACATTATTAATAGTTTGTGTCATTTACTATTTCTACCGGTGCAGTGCTGAATTAACACATAAAGACATACAGATGTGTTGACAAATAATGCATGTGTTAAAAGAACGACAGCTTTAATGCATGTACACTTTGCAAACGTACCAGTATGTGCCTGGTTAAAGACAACACATTGTATTGTGAGTTTTAAGACTGTAATGGGGAGGGTCTCATTCTCTGTCCATGCATTTAAATAGCAACACAGGGGAAAGAAAACAAACAATCAAACAAAAAAAAAAAAAAAAGAAAAGAAAAGAAAGAAAAAAAGGCTAACACACATTTAACACGTCTTAACATATGTCACCCAGAGGTCTGCTGCTCATGTCATTTCTTTCAGATAGATTTGGACTTATAATATTTTTTTTCCTCTTTTTTTGTGTCCGTTAAATTCAAATGACAGAATAGGAGTATATTTTGTGGATCACATTCAGACGCCTCGATTCTCTTCTTCTATACTTCACTGTTGCCTGCGTAGAGCCTGGTCCATGTTCGGGCTGAGGAGGAAACAAAACAAGAGGGTTTTGTTTGGTATGAGGGCCATTGGCTGAGTAAATAACAGTAAATAAGTAGAGTGCTGCAAGGTCCCAGAACAGGCAGCAAAAGCACCTGAGAGGTCACAGGACTTCCAAATACAAAATTTTAATATTTAGGCTTTTCATTTCTGTGTTGCTTGTTTTTGATGCTTTACATACTTTAAACTTTATTATGTTTAGAGTTTGGATTGTAGATAGAGGAAAACAAGAACATCATGTTGAGCCATGCGAAGCTGATTTCACACAAATAACTATTGATATCCTAAAACAAAACCAAAAAAGGCTTCTGATCTCATTATGTGTTTCTGCTTTTACAGTCAAACCACAAGCAGAATATTTAAATGATGTATTGGTTTGGTTAGTCACAAAGATTTCCATGGAAACTGGCAGAGAAACCCTGTTTTTACAGCCCATCTCAGACTGCCTTTAACAACACGTAAGAATTTGTTTCATGATTGACTGCTGCGCATACACGCATGCATTTTATTATCTCCCTTATTTAGCGGGTTTCAACTGATACCATCAAGTGAGTCACGACCGAGGAATTTCATTGTCATTGTACACTCAGAAGTGGCATATCAGCCGAGACAAACCAATCAACTTCTTTTACTAGACTCTCCAACAAGATCATTAGGTGCAGACCTCCATGAGCATCAACTTATTTTCTTAAGCTGATAAAATATATGCTTCACAAAATGTTGGGAGAATAACAAATATATGCAGCTCTCACGTGCGTCATCTGCCAAGCAAACTTGAGAACTGTTACTATCACCTGGCTTTATTTACAGTAGGTCAGCGAGCTGACCCCTCCCACAAAGTCACCAACAGGTTTGTTGTTTTGTTTTCTGGTTGCTATTCTTCTCCTCCCAGGAAATGAACCATAAAGAAAACCATCATCTCAGCTTTGGCTAATTTGCAGCTATTTGTAAAGTGGCTGACAGTTAAGGTCAAGACCTGAGCTGTTGTTTGTTACCATCTGTCACAGCACTTCTCACACTGAAACCTGTGACCACCTGTGGCAGCAGAAATACAGTTTAACAAAGCCCATCCCGAGTGATCTAATAGAAAAAAAATAAATCTTCTCCTCACCTGTCTCAATGGCTTGGCTTTCATTTTTCTTCCACTGCTCTGCAACATCATTTGCCAGTGGATCATCTGGATTGGGAGCACTTAATAATGCCTGGATAGATAGCAACACTGTACGGATCTGCAGGGCTGGAGACCACTTGTCTGTGGGAAGATCAGGAAAAAGAGGAACAGGCTGGTGGGTTTAATGGGAAAAAGAAACAAATCTGATGGTAAACCTATTGTCAACAACTTGCTAGTGGCAGAAAAGGAAAGCAGTCAATATCAGGGCTCAGCTGATCAGAAAGGCAAGGTAAAGAAAAAAAAACATATGAGGGAGTAGCAGTCCTTTAGTGCTGATCAGTTTGCTAAACAATCTCTTCTATTTTCCACATTCCCTTCTAAACATATATGCAAACACAGCTGCATGCTTTCCTGATACATTTTATATACCAATTTGCTTTCCATTACCACATAATATCAAGATAATAAAAATTAAATCCATGATTCTATCATTGTATAATAATGCTTATGTGCTCAAATAAATTATAAATACATTTGTTTGCTCAACAGAAAATGCAGAGACTTTGGGATTGTCATAATCTACGCTGCATATGATCGTTAAAATAATCGAAAGAAATCAGTGAACACAAGGCACGAGAGAACTGAAACAGACTCGATTCTGCAGCAGAAATCAGTGCACGGGCTCAGGAACAACCACTGAACAAAGTTTGTCTCTGCACTCATAAAATAAAGAGAAAACTCAGCTGCTTAAAGAAAAAGAATTTAGAAGCAAGCTGTCGAATGGCAGCTTTCTTCCTGTGGACCTGAATTGTGAAATTTTATTGCATTTTTTAAATCAAATACACCTCTAAAGAGGAAACACCTCGCTTGTCATCAGAAAAGCTGATGCAAAACAAAGGCTTTGTCTCCAATCATTTAAAATGTGTTACAGATATAAAACTTAAAATGAGCCTTAAAAAAAATCTGATATTGTCTTTGCTACAATTTCACTTAAATAAAATAGTTTAATCATAATGAAATCATCACATAAAATATGGCTGTACAGTGTTCCAATCTAATGTTATCTATCCCATCCCCCAAATCTTGATCTAGAACACATGTCATGAATTAATCTTCCTTTTTCTTACAAATACAATTTAAAAACTCATATTTTGACGTTAACAATAAATCAGTTCAGTATAACATGAAAATGGTTCGTATTATTTCCACGCCCTACTGAAAGTAATCACCTAACTTCATTCTTCTTTCAGACGATGAGTTCTTTATATAAAATTGAAGGTATACTTTTCTCTACAACAGGCTTTAACATGTCGGATGTTCACTGCCTGCTCATTGCAAAAACAGAACAATGCCAATGCAAGTAAGTGTTTTCCTAAAGCATTATTATTATCTCTCTTATTCAGTGGGTTTCCACACATTTGTACTTGGAATTGCAAGTAAATGAACTTGTGACTGCTATAAAGGCATAAAAGCCATAAGCTTTAACTGTTTGATGCTCCTCACTTTTACAAAGCAATAAGAAAAAAGCTGCAATCAAGTCCTGCAGAATGCTGTCAGTGTTGTTTCACACCAACATCAACCAGAAAAAGAAAACAGGATGTAAATATTTTTTTTTTAAAAATTCATGTCGATTATTTTTATCTCACGGTTTTCTTACCTTTCAAAATGTCTAAACATATTCTTCCCAGTTTGTCAACATTGGGGTGATAGATTTTGGTCATGAATCGCACTTTGGGAGCTGCCATGGGATACTCTTCTGGAAGAAATAGTTCAAGTTTAAATGTGCCTCCTTCAAAGGGAGAATCTTGAGGCCCTGCAATGAACACATGGAAGTAGCGTGCATTCCCTTCATCAGGCGTAGCAGTGATCCCTGGAACAGGCTCTGCCATCAACCGCTGCGTTTCCTGAGCAAGGTCATAGTGAGAAACACAGTTGTTGACATTTTGAATTTAAAAAGGAAGAAAAAGTGTTGCATGAAGAACTGTAGGAGGGTGTCAACAACAGACTTTTAAGTGCATAATGGTTCATAATACACAATTTCACCCCGCTTAGTCACACAGATACTTTCCACTTTACCCTATATATAGACAAGAAAACATTTCCACAAGTTATTTAAAATGGAAACTAAAGGCAGTCAAGTGTCCGTGCAGTGCCTCGCACTGACAAATAATTCAGTGGCTCCACTTTATTTTAATCTAAAAAAAATTCTGAAATTCAACCAATCATTTCACAATACCTAAAACAAGCCTTCTCTCTCCATTGCCTCCTTTATTTCTTGTAGTCTTTTTTCCCCTTCCTCACATTGTACTTCTGTTCATGCTTTAGAGAAGTGGTTCTTATCTTTAATATGGAAATATTTTTGTGGCAGAGTACAAACATTTTTTTTAAGCAAAAAATACAGTTGCAATAAAGAGTATGTGAGCCAAAAACTGTGGTTTCAGACTGCTCTAAACAAAACTGCAGTTCAAACCTTCCGTTTACGAGGGGCAGCCAATCAGAATCACATTAGCTTAAAGGGAGCTCTTCAAATAGCTTTTCTTGCTAAAACTCTGAGACATCAACAAACAAATTAGCCAATAAATAATCGCTGTTTAAAGAAGCAACCAGTTATCAGATTGACTGCAGATTTTTTTTTGCCTGTCAATCTGAATAAATTTGTCCAGATTACTTTTAGAAACTGTTTCAGTGCAAGGATCGTTCCACTTTACTGGGTGTATTAACTGCTAAAGAGTTTTACCGCAATGAACACTGTGCGAAAATGAACAAGGAGGAAGTAGACTATCTATTTAAGATTTCTGCATTCGCTTGAGCAGGTGCACCAAAACATCTGCAATAAACAGGAAGGAAACTGATTCACTCTTAGAATTAGAAAAAACAAAAACGTTTCTTTGTTGTGAATGTAAAGCAAAATGCCACAGGTTTATAAACAGAAGCTGATTCCGGTTTTCCCACTTTGCCTACTGTCGTGTTACTGGTTGTGAAAACCTGTTAAACCTGAGGAAGAGCTGCTAGACGTAGCGGAAAAGGCTGATCGCGCCCACTGCCGGGCCTGGCCCAGCGAAGCTGCGGTGAGGCTAAGGGAGGAGACCGCAGCCCTTAAGGCCTTGCATTTCTGTTTTAGTTCCATATATTTTAATACAAAAACTAAACAAAAGGTGACATGCTCGCGTAGTTGGGCTCGAACATATGTTTCATGAGCACAAGGGCAGCGCTTCACATCAGCATCAGACATGTGTACTAATCGGCAACGCTAAAACTGCTAGCCTAGCTCACTTAGCAAATCCATTCATAGGGCGACTGGGACAAATTTCTACAATCAGTCGAGTCATACTGAAAATGTAAGAAAGCAATAACTTTAACATTGCAAATTAAGCGAGTTAAGAACTCCTCACGTATAAAAAATTCAACCACCGTCACAGCAGAATTCACTAAACGGAAGTGGCAAACAAAACACAGACAAGCGAGCTAGCTCGACAGGAGCTAAATGTGCTAGCCTTGCTAACGCCAGGCTACACGCGAGATGACTGCACGTCTATGTCCATATTGGCACTGAATAACCGCTATAAAATACATTCAACGGCTCATTATGATATATACATATTGTCCGATGACAGGAGTACCTTTACAATCCTACGAGGCAGACCGGCCATCTTGTGTTAGCTATTATATTTTTAGCCGTTGACTCGCCTTCTCTTCAGGTTGAATTGACTGAGCTGCTGGGGCGGGGACAGATAACTCACGCTTCCGGTGGCTTCAGATGACGTAGACAAGTATGCTGATGTCTAAAGACTTCCATGTAAAATATAAATGCTGCAATACTAAATAAATGAACAAATAAAACATATTATGAATCTGAAACTTTAGTTAAATGTTTTCAAAGGGTTCTGAATATATATATCTTTTTAATGCTGCTATTACTATTTTAAGAAGACAAAATAAAAGGGCCATTCTACAATTGCAGGAAAATTTCTGTCACACCCCAGAATTTGAAAACAGTCTATGCACAAAATACTAAAACTTTAATTTGTTGTGTAAATCACAGCTGCTCTTGTTAAATAAGTGGTTCACACATATGGTTTAAAATACATAACAGCCTTGGAGAATTCCCCAAATCCCAATTTGTCCCAACGTCTTAACAGCCAAACTGGTTGTCAAGTATAAGATTTTTTTAAAGTTATGAATCAGCTTTCTTTATTTTATGAATGCATGTATCTTGTAATTGTTGAACGACATAACAAAGAAAAAGTGACATATCAAGTCACGGGTAGACCAAAGGGCAGTCCACTTTATTATCTTTTCTGACTGCATTGCATGTATTACCTTAACTAATGCAACCCTATTGCCATATTACCAAAGGAAGCTAAATGAATTTCAAAGATTTCTTCCTTTATTTGTATAACGACATTCATCTTTGACTTTCACAGTCCATTTCACTCCACAGCTTACATCTTTTTATGAGAAAACATTAATGCTAGCACAGATTTGCAACCTTGTTACTTATACTTGTTTCCACGCAAACTGCCATACAGTGGGGCAAAAAAGTATTTAGTCAGCCACCGATTGTGCAAGTTCCCCCACCTAAAATGATGACAGAGGTCAGTAATTTGCACCAGAGGTACACTTCAACTGTGAGAGACAGAATGTGAAAAAAAAAAAAAAAAAAAAAAAAAAAAAAAAAAAATCCATGAATCCACATGGTAGGATTGTAAAGAATTTATTCGTAAATTAGGGTGGAAAATAAGTATTTGGTCAATAACAAAAATACAACTCAATACTTTGTAACATAACCTTTGTTGGCAATAACAGAGGTCAAACGTTTACTATAGGTCTTTACCAGGTTTGCACACACAGTAGCTGGTATTTTGGCCCATTCCTCCATGCAGATCTTCTCGAGAGCAGTGATGTTTTGGGGCTGTCGCTGAGCAACACGGACTTTCAACTCCCGCCACAGATTTTCTATGGGGTTGAGGTCTGGAGACTGGCTAGGCCACTCCAGGACTTTCAAATGCTTCTTACGGAGCCACTCCTTTGTTGCCCGGGCGGTGTGTTTTGGATCATTGTCATGTTGGAAGACCCAGCCTCGTTTCATCTTCAAAGTTCTCACTGATGGAAGGAGGTTTTGGCTCAAAATCTCATGATACATGGCCCCATTCATTCTGTCCTTAACACGGATCAGTCGTCCTGTCCCCTCGGCAGAAAAACAGCCCCATAGCATGATGTTTCCACCCCCATGCTTCACAGTAGGTATGGTGTTCTTGGGATGCAACTCAGTATTCTTCTTCCTCCAAACACGACGAGTTGAGTTTATACCAAAAAGTTCTACTTTGGTTTCATCTGACCACATGACATTCTCCCAATCCTCTGCTGTATCATCCATGTGCTCTCTGGCAAACTTCAGACGGGCCTGGACATGCACTGGCTTCAGCAGCGGAACACGTCTGGCACTGCGGGATTTGATTCCCTGCCGTTGTAGTGTGTTACTGATGGTGACCTTTGTTACTTTGGTCCCAGCTCTCTGCAGGTCATTCACCAGGTCCCCCCGTGTGGTTCTGGGATCTTTGCTCACCGTTCTCATGATCATTTTGACCCCACGGGATGAGATCTTGCGTGGAGCCCCAGATCGCGGGAGATTATCAGTGGTCTTGTATGTCTTCCATTTTCTGATGATTGCTCCCACAGTTGATTTTTTTCACACCAAGCTGCTTGCCTATTGTAGATTCACTCTTCCCAGTCTGGTGCAGGTCTACAATACTTTTCCTGGTGTCCTTCGAAAGCTATTTGGTCTTGGCCATGGCGGAGTTTGGAGTCTGACTGTTTGAGGCTGTGGACAGGTGTCTTTTATACAGATGATGAGTTCAAACAGGTGCCATTCATACAGGTAACGAGTGGGGGACAGAAAAGCTTCTTACAGAAGACATTACAGGTCTGTGAGAGCCAGAGATTTTCCTTGTTTCAGGTGACCAAATACTTATTTTCCACCCTAATTTACGAATAAATTCTTTACAAATCCTACCATGTGAATTCATGGATTTTTTTTTCACATTCTGTCTCTCACAGTTGAAGTGTACCTCTGGTGCAAATTACTGACCTCTGTCATCATTTTAAGTGGGGGAACTTGCACAATCGGTGGCTGACTAAATACTTTTTTGCCCCACTGTAGAGTTCATCTACCAACTGGAAGATAGATGGTTTGATTCTCAGCTCCTCTAGTCTGCGTGTCAAAGAATTTTAGGCACTAAATCCTGAGTTGCCTTGATGCATCTTTTGGAATCTAAGTGTGTGGACAGCAGGCTAAAGAAAGGTGGAGAATTCAGCTCTGTGGAGTGGGCTTCTGCTATGTTACACTCAACAAGATTGCAAAACCAAGATGTTGTTAAAAAAGCCTTAAAATCAATATAGACATTTTTCACCCTGGTCACTATCTGTTTGACCTGTTGCCCAACAGACTGAAGAACGTTTTTTTATCCAAGTGACACATCACAGCCACAGATCTACCAAATGTGGATCAGATGTGAGGTGCATTATGACATTTGCGTTAAAACTGACACACTCATCACTTGCCACAACCCGCTTCAAGCGGGTGACATTCAGACCACAGTTCACCCACAAAATACATCCTAAAGAGAATGAACTTTTCCCCTCTTCTTCTGCTGCTGTGTTGTACAGGTAGTTGTGCTTTGAAAGTGATTCACTTTCCCCACACACGTTGTCCTTTATGCTAACAGTTAGGTAGCAGAAGTAGTGTCTCTTTAACGGGTTCCTATATTTTTCAGCATAGCTGTTCAGCGTACCTCTTTAATGAGAACTAAATGTCTGCTGAGCACAAATATAGTAAATTTAATTTTCATTCATTATGTTTACGTTGCTACAACACTCTTTGGTTGCTAGGCAACACGTTGACATCATAAATCGTTATTCATAATTAAAGTTTCAGGGATATGAACTAGATGCTACCATCATGAAATGAAAATGATACGACACCTTTATAAAAGGTGTTTACATGTGCATAAAGGAGGTTGGTAGGTGGCTGCTAGCCAACATAATAACATCACAATATCTGATATGGATCTATACACCTGCACACCTGGAAACTCTGAAGACACACGTGTGACTTGCCAGGCTACTTGAGAACCCCTGCTTTATATCATCAGTCTAAAGAAAATTCTACTGCAACTGTGAAGTCCAGTGTAGTGGCTGCATAAAAAAAAATAGTAACTACTAACTTATTATTTAACAGTTTATTTAACATTATAGTGACAACAGAAGGATATCATTTGCTGTTTGGTAGCCATCTGTCCTTCGGTGGGTCCTTATTTATGCGTCGCCTTCGATACCTGTGAACAAAAAAAACAGAGGACGATCAATACAGAACAACAAGTACAGAGGCATTTTTAAAGAGAGAGCACATTTTCTTTCAGCTCTTTTACAGTTTCACAATCATCCAATGAATAAAAACAACAGAAGGAGCGACAGAGTCTCCTCATCAAAGTTGGCAACTCATCTAAATCTGCTGTGCTAACACTGTTAAATCAGCAAACCAGACGAAACAAGGTTGAGTAACCCACTTTCAAGGGAAATTTCTTCAATATGTTATTTCTGACCTCCAGCTTGCCAGTAAATATGGTGATGAAAAGCTTAAGACCACTTGAAAAATTACAAACAAACATGGTTGGATAGTAACAAGGTTCCAGGTAGAGCTTCCACATGCAACAAGAAGAAATGACAGTGAGACAAAACCTTTTTTTGAGCATGCAAAAAAACAAAAGACCTGTAATCACCCCAAAACAGAAAACCCAAACTCAGTAATAAGTAGCTCCACCGTTATTGCTGATCACTTCAAACATTTTTCAAGTGGTCTTAAACTTTGATCGGGACTGTGCAATACCAATAATACCTGTAACATAGATATATCCAGATAAACAATTTTCTATACATAATTCATCTTGTTGATCCAAATGTAAACTTTGGAGGAATAAATCAACAATAAATTACTAAAGGGAGACCAGATGAAGAACATAGGGGCAAATCTCCCACCAACCTTTTCATCACAGACCTTTGCCTATGTGTGTGTTACTTGTGTACTTACTGTCCAATTGGATAAAAGCGGTGTTTTGTAGTGAAGAACATCTTGCTCAGCTCTTCTATTGTGGGGCCGTTGTCCTTGAGCACCTCCTTGCTGAGGTGGGCCTTTAAAACCTGGTCGTGCGTCTCGACCTGGTTGGCCATTGGGTCTGGTCTTTCTATAGGCTGCAAAGATTAATTTCCCGTTTTGTAAATACACGGTGTTTTATTGCAATCCTGAAGCTTTTTCACTTGTTGTGCACAGAACAGTTACATCATTTCTAATGGCTGTAAGTCTGATACTTCAAGTTTATTTGTTATAAAATAATAACAGGTCTAAAACTATATCCAGAATACTTCTGAAACCTGCACAGTAGTGCCTTACCTGGGTAAGCTCATAGGGAATGTCCACAGTGGGATGGTAGCACACTATGGTTTTTCCATCTGAGGTCACACCAATATCCACATTACTAAAGCCAAAAATTTGAAAGATTAGTATCTATGTCAAACTTAAGTAGTTGTCACATTTTTTTTTAAAAACTTCATTAATTATTCCAACAACACAACTACAAAAATGTTACATATTTCTGCAGCTACAGTGCTTTGCAAAAGTCTTGAAGTAACAAATTCTTTATATTTTGCTAGTTAAATGGGAAATATGTAAACCATTGTTAAGTTTATACAATTCTAATGGGCTTGAAAGTC